AGATTCTTATTAGCTGTACCCATTCCCGGCCACAACATACGCTCACAGTACATCAAAACCATCCCTGTGTCTCTTTACCCATCATTGGCCGAGCACTAAGCTCTGTGCCACGCACCTTTCAGGCATCATTTTTCTAAATTCACGTAATAATGGAACATAATGGAAATCTTCGTTTTCAGGTGCAAAAACAAACACCCGAGGCGCTAGCTGCTGTGCCATTATCTATCATTCACTAATAAATATTGTTTCCCATGACGATGTGTAAGCTTATATTCTGTATGTTGAGCCTGCACTTTTGCCCAAGACGTGTTACAAATCCAGTAGTTTCCAAGATCCAAATCTAATTAGAAAATGTTATAGAGTCAACTCTGGACTCAGCATCTTCTTCCTGGAGTCTACATTACTCAAATGGTCACGTACAGGTTTTCACTGTGCTGTATTTGTTAGTGAAGAAGATTGCTTTTTTTTTTTGTTTTTTTTGTTTTTTTTCCGAGACAGTTTCTCTGTGTAGCCCTGGCTGTCCTAGAACTTGCTTTGTAGACCAGGCTAGCCTTGAACTCACAGAGATCCACCTGCCTCTGCCTCCCAAGTGCTGGGATTAAAGGTGTGTGCCATCACCCAGCAGGGATTGCTTTTGAAATATGGAAAATGAGTGGGAGAGGTATCTTAGTGTAGAACAGGAGCTTGCTATGTGCAAGGCCTTGGGTTTGAGCCCAGACAGTGCAATGAGCATCAAAGAGAAACTAACAAGTCCAGCTAATTTAAAAATCACAAACGATGGGCTGGAGAGATGGCTCAGCGGTTAAGAGCACTGGCTGCTCTTCCAGAGGCCCTGAGTTCCACATCCACATGGTGGTCACAACTGTCTTGGACTGTAGTCTTATGGAATCCAATGCCTTTTTCTGGTGTGCATACATGCATACAAAACACCCACATACATAAAATACATACATAAATAAATCTACAAAAAAAATTTTAAAAAGAAAAATCACAAAGGAGCCTCGTGTGGTGGCACACACTTTTAATCTCAGCACTTGGGAGACAGAGACAGGAGGATCCCTGAACTCAAGGCCAGCCTGGTCTACAGAGCAAGTTCCAGGACAGCCAGGGCTACATAGAGAGATCCTGTCTTGAAAAACCAAAATAATAACAATATAATAATAATAATAATAATAATAATAACAATAATAAATATCACAAAGCCGGGCATAGTGGCACAGGCCTTTAATCCCAGCACTCAGGAGGCAGAGCCAGGCAGATCTTTGTGAGTTCAAGGCCAGCCTGGTCTACAGAGTGAGATCCAGGAAAGGCACAAAGCTACACAGAAAACCTGTCTCGAAAAACCAAAACAAATTAAAAAAAAAAAAATCACAAAAGCCAGGAGATGTAGAAGTGAAATCAGTGAATACCCCGTCAATGGGAACAGCCCTGTGATGTGGGACCCTTTCTGCATATCATTCAAAAATTAAGTGATTATTTTACCAACAAGGGGGCTAGGGAGATGGCTCAGAGGTTAAGAGCACTGGCTGCTCTTCCAGAGGACCTGAGTTCAATTCCTGGCAACGACATGGTGGCTCACAACCATCTATAATTCATTTTGGTGTCCTCTTCTGTCATATAGGCAGAACACTGTATACATAATGAATAAATAAATCTTAAAAAAAAAAAAAGCACTGGCTGTTCTTCCAAAGGACCAGGGTTCAATTCCCAGCACCCACATTACAGCTCACAACTGTCTGTAACTCCAGTCCCAGTGAATCTGGCACTTTCACATCAACATGCATGCAGGCAAAACATGCAGGCATAAAAATGGAAATCTTTTTTTTTTTTTTTTTTTTTTTTTTGGTTTTTCGAGACAGGGTTTCTCTGTGTAGCTTTGCGCCTTTCCTGGGACTCACTTGGTAGTCCAGGCTGGCCTCGAACTCACAGAGATCCACCTGGCTCTGCCTCCCGAGTGCTGGGATTAAAGGCGTGCGCCACCACCGCCCGGCTTTAAAAATGGAAATCTTAAAAATAAAATAAAATAAAATAAAATAAAAAGACAGACAAGGACCCTGAGATTCAGAGAGACTGCTTTGAGTAGTGACCAAATAGCAACTCAATTATTTTTAAAACAAATGTTTTATTTATTTAGACAGGGTCTCACTATGTAGCACTGGCTGGTCTGGAACTCACAGAAATCTACCTGCTTCTGCCTCCTAGGTGCTGGGATGAAAGTTGTGTGTGAACCAGCTCCTGGTGTTGTGGATATCGTTCTGTATAAATAAACACTGATTGGCTGGTAGCCAGACAGGAAGTATAGGCAGGATTAACAGAGAGGAGAATTGAGGGAACAGGAAGACACGGGGAGAGACTGCCTGGAGCCACCGCCAGGACAAGCAAGATGTAAGGTACCAATAAGCCACGAGCCACGTGGCAAAGTATAGACTAATAAAAATGGGCTAAATATAAGAGTAAGAGCTAGACAGTGATGGGCCTGAGCTAATGGCCAAGCAGTTTAAATAATGTAAGCGTCTGTGTGTTTATTTTATAAGTGGGCTCTGGGACTGGCAGGACTTGGTGGGACCTGGAGAGAAAAGCTCTCCAGCTACACCCTGGCATGAGACTTTTTTTTTCTTTTGAGGCAGGGGCTCTTGTAGTTCAGGCTAGCCTTCAACTTGATATGTAGCTCAGGATGACCTTCAATCCCTTACCCTCCTGTCAAATACCTCCCAGAAGCTGGGACGAGAGGCATGCACCACCAAGCCTGATTTATGTCGTGCTCAGGAACCTCGCTAAAGCAATCAGTCTACCAACCGAGCTACAGCCCCGGCCCCTAGTAACACAATGCTATAATTTGAATTCTGAACCACTGTTTTATACTGTACAGCAAGAAGAGAAGGTAAAGCCTAAGGAAGAATGTTCCAAGGTCAGGAAGTGAATTGTGGCCAAACCTAAGAGACCATGTGTTCTTGTTCAAGACATCAGTGCCAGATCCTGGTGTAGTGGGTAGTGCTGACTGTCAATGTGTTCAAGACACCAGTGCCAGATCCTGGTGTAATGGGTAGTGCTGACTGTCAATGTGACAGGATCTGGAATCAGTAAGGCAAGCCCCCAGGTAGGCCTGTGAGGAATTATCTTGATTAGGGTAGTCTCTGGGCATGCCTGTGGGAAATTATGGTGATTAGGTTAATTCAGGTGGGAAGGCCTACCCACAGTGGTTGGCATCATCCCCTAGGCTGTGAGCTGAGTGCTTTCTGCTTCCCGACTGTGGACACAATGTGACCAGCCATCTCAAGCGCCTACCTTTATCCCTATACTGCCATGATGGCCTTCCCCTTGAACTGTGAACCAAAATAAATCTTCTCTTCTTAAGTTACTTTTGTCCGGATATTTTATCATAGCAACAGGAAAAGGAGCCCAGACATCTGGCCTCTACGCCTAAGAACCTTTTCCTTCCTTCCTAGAGGGAAGGCACAATAGATCTTCTCTCCAAGTCTCCGTTCTGCTTGGCTTACAGAACACATTAGTAGATTCTGGGTGCATCTGGAGAAGGAGATAGTGTGTGGAAATGTGAGGGAACCCCGAGTACAGTTGTGACACCACATGCTCCTTCCTTAACCAGCTGGCATGTGTCAACAGAGACTCTACAGTTAATGCATCTGCCACGGAGACATGAATTAGAAGCTTGAGAAATCCCTTGTTCTTAGGGAGAAGGGATGCTGAGTGCTCAACTGCCCTTCCTCCAATCAAGTGGGCCACTAAGGGTTAACTGAGTGCCATCAGATGCCCAAGCCAGGGCTGCAAGGCATGATTCCTGCCCTGGAGGGGGACCTGTGGCAAGGGCAGAGAGCATTGAGAAAGTCGTGCATTCTGGGAAATGCCAAAACAGGAAAGATGTCCGTGAAAGCGGGTGACAGGGCGCGTGAGCGAGGAAGGGGCTAGGCTGCCACCAGAGTGGGCTCCCTGAGCCGAGGAAAAGGTGGCAGGAGGGAATGGGAGAGCGTCCTGGCAAACCACAGCAGGTGGAAAGACCCAGCGGCAGAAAAGAGCTCGGTTTCCCCAGGACAAGGGGGTCCGTTGTGACTACATCAGAGAGCTTAAGGGTCCGGTTGGAAGGCAGAGCTCCCAGGGTGGGCCTGGCCACTGTGCTCAGGGTCTTCCAGGTGGTGTGGTCCTCTGCACACGGGACCTCCTTAAAGATCACAGCAAATATAGCAGTTCCTTATCTTCAGTAGAAGGAGGGATCAAAAAAGATTGTTTTCTGCAGGTGTGTGTACCTGGGATGTTCCCTGGTGACAGCTAAAAGCAGACTGGATGCTATTTTTTTAAATGACAGTTCAAAGAGCAAGTGGAATGACAAGCTGTGATGTCACCAACGAGCCCTGACTTTGGTGGGTGCCGGCTCCTATAATCCCAGCAGATGGGAGGTGGAGGCAAAAGAAGGGAAGAGAATTAGAGTCTGAGATGATCCTTTCATCCTTGACTACACAGCAAGCTTGTGGGCAGCCTGAACTTAACGAAATCCTATTAGAAAAATAAAGATCTCTACCCTGACTTTGAGATCATGCTGGTGTGGAATCTATCACCTGGCCCCAGGCTTCCTGGCATCTCTCAGCCTCGATTTCCCTATCTGTGAAGCCGCTCTCTCTCAGGGTGGCTCTGAGAATCCAGGGCAATGACCACCACAACAGTGTGCAATCTCTCCCAGACAGACAGCACACCCTCTGTATTTAGGTGGGGAGAGTGTTGAGACAGAGTCTCCCTAGGTAACTCAGGCTGGCCTCAAACTAGCCATCCTTCTGCCTCAGCCTCTTGAGTCCTGGGATTATGGGTGAGCTGCCACGCCCATCTGTATTCTGCATTGGCTGAGAGTTCCACACTGCACAAAACACCCAGTAATTTTCACTGGACCTTCACTCCTATTCTGTAAGGTCAATGATACTATTATTTTCTCGGAGCCGCCAACGTCAAGCCATCTGGCCAAGGTCATAAGGCTGTAAGTGCAGACTGGTAACTCTGCTCCGGCTGTGACTTCCTGATGCCCAGTGGGAGAACTGCAGAGCCCAGGACACAGCCCCAAGGTCCTAGAAGAAGGAGAGGTTTGACTCTGTGGGCAGCTTGTTACGAGTCTATCAGCAGCAAGAACCAGATCATCTCGAGAGTTTGGGCCCAATCAGGTTCCCTGTCCATCGCTTCATCTTACCCCCCACCCTCATCCCCAACCCCCGACCAGACTGGGATGATGCGGCAGGACGCTTAGAGGTCTGGCCTCCCCCGCCAGCAGAGGCGCAGGTGCGCCTACAGCTACGCATGCGTAGCCCGCAGCCTCTGCAGAGCCCGCTGCAAACCTACAGCCGGCGTGGGAAGAATCCTGTGAGTTACGCTCGGGTCACGTGATGCGGAGAGCTGGCCAGATGAACAGAATGGTAAGCGGGAGAGAGGTTGGGGCTGAGCGCAGTTTATGAGGGAGCTGCCTGGAGGGTCCGAGAGTAAAAAAAAAAAAAAAAGCAAGAAATAGGAATGGGGTGAATTAGGGAGCGAAGCAACCCGCTGCCCTGACAGAGATCAAGCCCTGAGTGCGGAGCGTGAGCCACTTCTCTCTGGGGCTTACACCTGCCTCGCTCTGCTTCAAAGCTGCATGGCCAGCTGCGTTCTTCTGTGCCCACTGCACCCTCTCCCCTGATTGCTGGACTATTACAGTCACCATTCCCTGCACCGTTTTAGGAACAATTTCTCTCTTAAAAAACGAAAACCATTTATTTATTCATTCGTGTGTGTGTGTGTGTGTGTGTGTGTGTGTGTGTGTGTGTGTGTGTTGTGTTGTATGTGTCCTTGCAGGTGCACTTGTGGAGTTCAGAAGATAGCTTGTGTGAACTGATTTAATCTTCCACCTTGTGAGATGTAGGAATCAAAAAGGTCAGCAGCCTCGGCCGCAAAGCCTTTACCCACTGAGCGCCATCTCTCTGGCCCAGGAGCAGTCTCTAAAGTCAACGGGAGAGGCCTGGAGAGATGACCCAGCAGTTAACAGCATGTGCTGCTCTTCTGGAAGGCCCGGGTTTGATTCCCAGCACCCCTACACCAGCCCACAACCCTCTGGAAGTCCAGTTCCAGGGGATCTGATGACTTTCAGCCTCCTCTGACTCCTGTGTGTACATGGTGCACATGTGTGCACTCAGACATGTACACATAAAATAAATGTTTTAAGATGGAAAAAGTGATGTGTCTGCCTTGTCACCACCCATCCACACAGAGACATGCAGAGAAGAGCTGGGCCTGTGGCACTTGGGTCTGGGACTTTGCCCTCAGGCTGACAGAGTGTGTGTGTGTGTGTGTGTGTATGTGTGTGTGTGTGTGTGTGTGTTTTGCCTAAGGGAACAATTCGTATTCAGATCCAGGCAGTGATTTCCACAGAGATCGTAGAAGAAATTATACAACACCTCTGGGTGTTGAAATGCTACAATAGATGGGTAGAGGGCAGGTAGGCAGGGTCTCATGCTACCTAGGGCTGACCTTGAACTTTCTATGCAGGAAGGTTGAACTTGAACTCTGGAGCCTTCTGCCTTCACCTACCAAGTGCTGGTATTATCAGTGTGGACCACCACATCCAGGCGTGCAATGGGATTTGCAGATTTTTTTTTTTTTTTTTTTACTTTGGAGCTGAGGACCGAACCCAGGGCCTTGCGCTTGCTAGGCAAGCACTCTACCACTGAGCTAAATCCCCAACCCTAGATTTTTTTAAAAAGCATTTAATTAGCCAGGCGGTGGTGGTACATGCCTTTAATCCCAGCACTTGGGAGGAAAAGACAGGCAGATCTCTGAGTTCAAGGCCAGCCTGGTCTACAGAGCAAGTTCCAGGACAGCCAAGGCTACACAAAGAAACCCTGTCTCAAAAAAAACAAACAAACAAAGCATTTAATTCTGTGTGTGTGTGTGTGTGTGTGTGTGTGTGTGTGTGTGTGTGTGTATGGTTCTGTGCGTGCGAGTGCAGGTGCCCTCAGAGGCCAGAGAAATCGGATTCCCCTGGATCTGGGGTTATAGTTAAATGTGAGCCACCTGATGTAGGTGCTGGGAGCCAACCTTAGGGTCCTCTGCAAAACCAGTAACTAATTTTAACTGCTGAGCCATCTCCGTAACCCCTGCAATGGAAACATGTGCAAGATTTCCCCAGCCCTGTACCCCTCAAATTAGAATGCCGATACCACTCTGGGGCAAACACATCCTATCAGAGGGTCACATTCATCCCCAGGCTACCTGCTTTAAAACTCAGGGAATCCAAAGGAAGAGGTCACCCACAGAAAGAGAAGCCACAGTCACTGATGTACCCCCATTCCCACAGCGCCCCCTGGTGGGCACCACTTTGCAGAAGGGTGAGGGGGGCCGACTACAGGAGCGGTCCCTTTGCTCAGCCTGCTCTGGGCAGTGGATAGAGACAGTGGGCCAGCGCTTTGCATGCACTGAGGACTAAGACTAAGACATGGGCAGCTCATTGCCTGGACAGGCAAGGCCCATGGCCCTGAGACAACCCAGGAACAATGGGAGGCGCCACACGTTAGAAGTCTCAGTGGACTCTATGGAGACGGCTTGGAGCTGTTTTTATCTGGTTTGGAAAACTTGGCAGGTTTTACACCTTGGGTCTCAGAGAACAGTTCATGCTTTTATATAGATGAAGCTGTGGTTGAGTCCCTGAGGAAGCTTGCACTCCAAGGGAGGAAATCGGTTTGTTTTGTTCTGTGTTTTATTTCTGGCCAGTTTAAAATGACCCTGAACACTGAGAGAGGAAGTGAAATCTAATCAATAATTAATAGCAATTAATAAAATAACCATTGTTTTTGTTGTTGGAGATGGGGTTTCTCTGTGTAGACTGTCCTGGAACTGGCCTTGTAGCCCAGGCTGGTATCGAATTCACAGAGATCCGCCCTGCCTCTGCCTCCCGAGTGCTGGGATCAAAGGCGCGCGCCACCACCGCCGCCTCTACCACCGCCGCCGCCGCCGCCGCCGCCGCCACCACCACCCAGTTTATTTATTCATTTAGTGTGTGCGTACACACCCACCATGGCAATCCGCAGCAGAGAACAACATTCAGGAGTTGGTTTCCTTCCTTCAGCATACGAGTCCTGAGAACCACACCCAGGTCATCGGGCTTGGTGCACAAACCTTACCCACTGAGCCATCTCACGGGCCCAAATTATTATTTATTTTTAACTTTTATTTTATCTGTATGAATGTTTTGCCTGGTGCTTGAGCAAGCCAGAAGAGGGCATCAGATCCCCTGAAACTAGAGTTACAGATGGTTGTGAGCCACCATGTGGGTGCTAGAGGCCTGGGCCTCTAGAAAGAGCAGCCAGTGCTCTTAACTGATAAGCCATTTCTTCAGCCCCTTTAAAAATTTTTTTTTTTTTTTTGGTTTTTTCGAGACAGGGTTTCTCTGTGTAGCTTTGGTGCCTGTCCTGGACTAGCTCTGTAGACCAGGCTGGCCTCGAACTCACAGAGATCCACCTGCCTCTGCCTCCTGAGTGCTGGGATTACAGGCGTGCGCCACCACCGCCCGGCCCCTTTAAAATTTTTTGAGACAAGGTCTTACTGAGTAGCTCAGGCAGGCCTCACATTTGCAATCCTCCTGCCTTATCCTCTCAACTGCTGGCTTTACAGATGTGTACCATCACTCCCAGCCAGGAATTATATTAAATTATTTTTCCTTTAATTTGTGGAGTTGGAGTTGGGAGACTGTCATTTTGTGGTTTGGTAGTGGAGATGGAACCCAGGACTTTGCACAAGTTTTACCACTGAGCACACAGCCTTAGCCCCGTGTGTGTGTGTGTGTGTGTGTGTGTGTGTGTGTGTGTGTGTGTGTGCTATTTTTATTAAATGGACCAAGTCATTAGGACATAGCATAAGCCATTTGGTCCCACATCTTATTTTATTTTGGTGTTTTCTTTTTTCATTTTGTCCCGACTATGGTATGACCTGACTATTATTAGAAAGTCTCTTTGGGTCTAGGAGTGCTGTGGAAAAACAACTGAAACATGAGGCAGCCAAGGTTGGGTACCTCCATAAAGGCTAAACATACCCTGGGGCCTTCGCAGTTCCTACATTGTTTGGTGTGCAGCCTTTTCTTCGTGACTATTGTTACATTGTATTTTCCTTCCCCTCCACAAACGCCTTTTGTGTCGCCCCCAAGTTCCCGCCTAACTCTGACGTCCACAGTGCCCCTCCCCATCCTCTGAGGACGACAGTCCTTGCATAATCCTGATTTGTTGCTGTACAATAGATACATGCCTATGTATTGTTTTCACCTTGACAGTGATCTTCAGGAATCAATGCTGCCATGCCCACTTTGCAATCAGAAAACGGAAGTGTCAAGAACCAAGGGTCTTGCTGGTCACACAGGAAGTGGTTCAGGCCAGGTCATCAGCATCATTGCTCTTATCTCCCCCTACCTCCCTCTCAGGAATGAGAGAGAAAGCAGAAAGTGGAGATAACCACGTACAGTAGGCCAGGCTCCTAATTTTGGTGCCCTTTTCTAGGGAGCCCCCAAATTATTGAAACTCCAGGAGCCTCCAAACCTGAACCTGCCTTGGCTCTGTGGGTGGCTGTGAGGATAGGTGGTGTAACAGCTTCCTCTGAGACTGAAGCGTTCCAGCCCGCAGGGAAGTTCCTCCAGCGGGAAGGAAAACAGCTCAAAATAGCTTCAGGAAGTCCCTGAAAATGAGCAGAATCACTAAGCCCCTCCCTGCCAGGGTAAGCAATGAAAGCCGGGAGTCTCTGAGACTCTCTGAACGTTGCTGCAAAGACTCTGAGAGGTGGAAAGCTGCCCGGAGACTCTGAGACCAGACCAGCGCCCTGGAGAAGCAGGAACCAGCGGAGCTGCTGGGAACAGATTTAGACCAGAGTCACTTGAAAAGGACACCCCTTCCTGTTGAGCAGCCTGCAGGCTGTGCAGTGTGCCAGGCTTCCCAGCCTCTGTAAGCCGCCCCCCATGCTGGCGTGAGCCTCGGTGATGCAGCTGTCTCCTGTAAGTAACCGTAATAAAACTCATCGGTTCAGGGCTGGAGAGATGGCTCAGGGGTTAAGAGTACTGCCTATTCTTCAAAAGGTCCTGAGTTCAATTCCCAGCACCTACATGGTGGCTCATAACTATCTGGTGCCCTCTTCTGGCCTGTAGGCATACATGCAGAACACTGTATACATAATAAGTAAATAAATCTT